TGACATCATTACTGTATGTTCATATGAGCAATGTCCCAGGAGCCTGTAAGACTCTGTTTCCTTATGGTCATGCACCTCCTCCCTTGACGCTTACAATCTTTCTACCCCCTCTTCCACAATCATACCAAGTCGTAGGTGGGTGAAGTTTAATGTAGGAGTCCTATCCAGGGACCTACATTCTGCAGACTCTTATTCTCTACGGTTTGGCCATTTGTGGCATTTTGTGTTCATCACCCTCTGTTGCATGAAGAAGCTTCACCGATAAGAGTTGAGAGATGCATTAGTACTCTCTCTACCCCTTTATGAGTTTTTTCTTTAGTATTTTATTTATTATTTTTTTAGTTTATGTGTATGAGTGCGTTGCCTGCATTTATGTGAGTGTTCCTATGTCATGCAGTGCCTGTGGAGGTCAGAAGAGGGCACTGGATCCCCTAGATCTGCAGTTACAGAGAGTTGTCAGCTGCCATCTCTCCAGCCCCTATTTATACATTTTTACAGTAGTATATAAAAAGGAAAATTTTACTTGCATATTGATTTTGCACCAATAATCTTGCCTAACTTAACTCATTTCTATTCTTCTTAGATTCTTTGAACCTTTCTACATTAAAATTCACGCTGTGTTCGAATAGAAAGATGACTCATTTTATTTCTCATTTTTGGAGTTTTGTTTTCCTCTCTTGGTTTATTTCATTTGCTGAGCTATATTACGAGGTTAAATAAGATATTCTCATCTTCTTCAGAATCTAATCAAAGAATATATCAGTATATCTCATTAGGTGGGATATTAACTAAAGGTTTAATCATACTTGTACACTAAGGAGTGTTATGAAGTGAAAACCTATCTAAATGCAGATTTCACCTAGCATGCTGCCCATTTTTCAAGGCTTGAATATTTGTTTTTGTTGTTCCCCAATGCCTTCCCAACGTTTATACCTATAGTGAATCTCATCAGGAGGATGGTCCAATGCAAACTACCCTACTATTAATTAAAACTTCCCTTGGGGGTTGGAAAGATTGCTCAGTGGTTAAAGCACTGACTGCTCTGCCAGAGGATCCAGGTTCTGTTACCAGAACCCACATGGTGGCTAACAACCATCTATAACTCCAGTTCCAGGGATTCTGAAACCCTCTTCTAGCCTCCCTGGACATTGCACACATGTGGTGAACTTACATACATGCAGGCCAAACAGTCAGACACATAAAACTAACAAAATAAATAATTTTAAAACCTTCAATTGCATATTTAATTATTATATTCTGATTTTCTTGATCCGCCTATCTCTGCTTCCTGAGTCCTGGGCTAAAAGGAGTGTGCCACCACACTGGACTATTTTCTTAATAGACATTTTATTTGTTCAGTCTTTCCTCAAACTTATTAGAGCTGTTTTGAGCTTTGAGGCACTTAAGTACCTAATTCTTTCTGCTTCTGGTAACTAATGCCTATGGTAGTTTTTACATATTTTCCTCACATTTATTATTAATATTTTTTGTCAACTTAGAAGAAAGGAAAAGAGTTTAATTCAGACTTAATAGTCTATTAAAATGTTTAAATGCCATTCCTACTTATAAATGTCCCATGGAAGTATAGAAATCTGAGGACACATACATCTGTCATGGTTCACTCTTCTGAGTAGATTTCCAGAGATTTGCTACAATCATTTAGTAGGAATTAAT